ATGAATATACTAAATACATTATTTTATTAACATTTGATTATCAATAAATATTTAAAAATTTAAAAAAAATATTTTGATTAAATCAATGTTTTAGAAAAATTTCATTAGAAAAATTCGTATTATATCAATAAACTAGTGAACATAATATTTTACTTTTAAATTTCTATGATTTTAAATCTCTATGAAATATATTTACAGGAATTTTCTCTGCAAAATATCTTATTAATGGATTAATTTTAAAATAAAATATATAATGATACTTAGGGGTAACCAAAAGTTCTGTCATCATCAAATCTTTTTAATAATTTGTTGAAAGCTTTTTCGAATTATTTTTCAAAAAAAAATTTTAGCTACCTTGGAAACTACATGAGCTAATTATTTTTTGTTTGTTTAAAAATTTAGCGGAATTTCGTTAAATCATGTGAGTTGTATCCTAGCACTACTATTGATGAGACATGGATTTATTTTAGATAGGTTAATCATAACTCATCTGATGCTAGCTGGCTTATTGAAGGTGAATCGTCATGGACTATTGTCCATGAAGACAGACTTGGGCTGAAATTTTGTTTCATATATTCTCTAAATCAAATAGTCTTGGTATAGACAAAGGCATAACTGTAGGTCATAAATATTATATCGACAACTGTCTTGAGCCTTTTGTTAATGTAATATGAAATAAAAAGAGGCGTCAAACTCAAAATGTACAAAGTTGCTTAATGATCATCACTGATTTCATACTTATCTCATATTAATATTTCTTCAACAGAAAAACGGAACAATTTAATGTCACATCAGCCATACCTAATACTATATGATCTTAGATTAAATAACTCTATCGAACAACGTTTAACTGATTAATTTAATGTAATATCCATAGCTCATCTGGTTTTCACGATAGCTAAGATTTTTTTTGAAAAATAATTCGAAAAAACTTTCAACGTATTGTTCGAAAGGATTGAACTTGTTATAAATAATCATAGCAACTATTGCCATCATTTGATGAAATAAAATTGGAAATATTCCCTTATCTTCGTATTCTTATTTAATGATGACAGAACTTTTGGTTATCCATAAGTACTTGAATTATTATTTTTTATATTTAAAATACTATTTAGTAAAAAAAGCAAAAATAAACTATGTTTTTTCTGTCTTATTTAATTAATGATGTTTCGGATAACTATACACTAATCATTAAAAGAAAAAAGGATATGTTCTTATTTCGTGAGATGAACAACTTTGTTATTATCATCACCACTTGCCATGATAAAATTTGGGGTTTTTCACATCATTTCCATTACGACCACACATTCCTTATTTAAGTTTTCATGGTTCCATGTCTTAATAGAAATAATAAAAAAAAGAATCATAAAATATATATGAAATAAATTCAGTGTTAACCTTTGTTCTTGAGAATTTCAACAGCCTTGTCACCATCTTCACGTATAAGATGTGGCCATTTAGTTTGATCCGACATTTTCATAAATTATATTTCTTTTCTTGTAGATCAAACGTCTAAACAAAGTACTCAATATGCTTAAAATGAAAACGAATACATGACTACATTCATACTTATTCATTGAGATCAAATAAAACACATAAGGCTGAAAAACATCTCAATGTATCAGAAACATGAAATCAGAAAAAGAAAAAAACGAAAGTAGGTGTTTTAATAAAAAATAAATAAATAATTACTTCTATATGTTTTTTGTTAAATCAAATGAGAAAAAATATAAAAATATTCAAGGAGTGAGTTGCATAGAAATATAAAAGCGAAGAAAATAAAATATTTCACCAATAAGTGGCATAGTTATATGAATAAAAAACAAAAGTAGGTCTTTTAAATATGAGTATGTAGGGTCCTTCGTGTTAGTTTTTCAGAATAATTCATTGCTTTTAATCTATGAAATAGAAACTTCGTTTATTGATATAGTAAAACTACAATATTAATAATTTTTTCAGTTCAACAAATTCTTTTTGTTTATAATCTAAATACATTAAGTTGTTGTTCTTAATAACAAGAAAATACTTAGTTTAATAGAATGTTGTCATAAAACAATGAACAATTAGATAAACTTTGACAGTTATCTATTAATTTAGATTTTATGGTCAAGTATTTCTCTATCGATTTGAATAGTTAAAAAATTTATTCTTTATGCCTGCTGTCCAATGACTCAACTTAAAACGTTCCGCTTCGTGCATTTCATTGACAGAAAGATTATGTGGGTGTGGATCGTGGGTGTGATGAGTGAGAGCGTGGGGGTTGGTGTGGATGTGACTAGAAAGATCCTCACACTCAAACCTACATACACACCCCACTCTCTCACACCCACATACCCTCGCCCGCACACCCGACATAGTGGTTCATTTTACTCTAAGGAATCATCTCCTCAACATTAGTCATGTTATTTGTTCAGAAAGATGGTCGGACAAAATAGAACGTAAATTTAACAAATCGTATAAAACATAAAGAAAACAATAAAGAAAAAAACTATGTTATAACATTAGTATCATCTTATGTACTTCTATGTCATGATAAAATTTAACTTAAAATGTAAAAATAAAACATGAATCAATGGTTGATTTCATGTTAATATATATGGTTGCTCATTGAATAGATAGAATATATTAGCAAAAAAAAAATAACCATGTTTACTCTCATAAGAAAGAGAGAAAAATAATCAGGTTTCAGTTTTAAATGCTCGAACTATTAGAAATTTAAATAATAGTAAATTTGAAACCGCTATATATAAAAAGCTAACTACTACTAATTTACACTTACTTTATGAAAGCAACATCGCGATCAATATACATTTAATAATACAGACAAATATTCGAGTTAACTAACCAGAAGCAGCTTTCATATTGACAATATTTAAACAATTGGAAGATTTTTTACCTTCTTTACAAATAATATGGAGAAAAAAGAATTGTTTCACTCAAGTCAATTTCAGCATTATGGAACTTGCGATTAATTTACATAGCAACATTAATTTTATTCTTTTCTAATGCATTCTCCAATTTGAATTTTTAACTTTAGATAAAATATGAATATTTGAACCCACAAAATTTTGTTTTTAATTATACTTCAATATTACTTTTAAAGAACTGCTTACCAAGCTTCTCAAGAAACATGATGCTCTTGAATCATTAAATTGACGAACTCGATCAAATGTTATGACCGATTGATTTGTCCAGAGGATTATTCTGTGTACATGATAGTTTAAAAACACTTTTATTATATAATGATTTATCTACTAATCAGTCTCCTGATTCTCGAGTAATATCGGTTGATATCTTTTATTGAACATTAGCGAATTAACCTCAGTGATTGACTGAAGTTTTCAAAGACGTTAGCATGGACTATCTATCGATAGTTATCATAGATTCATCATCGACCATTGAACTCATATTTTTTCAAGACATCTTCTTCTAGTATTCAATGGTATCAGGGTGAGCGATGTCTTTCTTATAAATTTTGCATAGCATACAATTTTAATTAACGCAGACCTATGATATAATTTAATTGATTCTTCTAATATCTTAATTGATTTTTTTTCTGCAAAAAATGTATAACATGCATTATGATGGACTTCGACTGGGTTAGCATGTTTACAAGAGTGTTTATAAAATATTGCTTGATCAAATAAAAACATGTTATTGATTGTTTTCTCACTCTTTTTGCTATATTATTTATATGTTTTAGTTTCCTGATGAAGTCAATGTGATTAATCTAATCCCATTGTTTAAATAAGAAAGTTTGTCATCGTTACGTTATTTCTGCACTCTTTGTCATAGAAGTTACTTTTAATTAACCTATTCGAATCGAATCTTATTTGGTATTGATAAGACATACAAATGTAAGACGTATTTTTAGCCTTTTTTTTCTATATAATGTTAAATTTCTACGATACAACAAATAAATACTGAAAATATTACATAATTTTGCATTTTATGGAAACGATACTGACATCACAATCCAAAATTCTTTTAAAAATTATTATTAAAAGAATCTACAAATCATATGATTATCATGTGTAAATTTATTTTTGAGATTAAACAAAAAATTATTTGTGGAAAAACTCGCAATTTGAATGTGTCGCGTTCTTGCTTGGCACATTGTGTCGCAACGAGCACCTCGTGTTGCACTTGAATACACCGTGCACTGTGTCGCATTTTGCAACACATTTTATCTTAGTACGTTTATTATTAACTGCATATCAGTAATAATCAACTACTGATGTTCCATGGATATGGATGTATCTTATTTATATTTTTAATTAACTATTTATTTAATTACAATAAAGGAATCACTGTAGATTGCTGAAAAAAGACATTAGTAAAAAACAATTTATGATCGAATAATGATTTTGTCATCCATGACAATAAAACTATGTACATGTTCTCGACAGATGACATATTGAATAGCCTATAACTAATGTGCTTCCAATATATATTTGCGAATATATATACTCTTTTTGTATTCCAATACATTCACTCCGTCGAGACAAACAATTGTACCTATATATATAGGTACGTGGTACTTCTGTTTTTGCTTGTTGTTATTACTTCATGACGATGCTGGGAGTACACACCGAAAGCTTGATCTTAAAAATACTTTGAATGTTGATGAAGTTCTAGTTTTTTTTTGTGGCAGTTATATACTAAATTATTTGCTTATTATTGTCTTCTAGTATATATGTTCTGTCAAGATTTTGTTTCTCTTTCTATCTCTTGCATTCGTTCTCCTTGTGTAGGTTGACTCATGTAAGAAAATCGATGTGTTGATAGAAAATTTATTTATACTTTCTCCGTCTGTTTCTTTTCTTGTCTCTTGTAAAACTATAAACCTAACATGATACAATAAATTGAATAAAAAACAAAGAAAAATTACAACGATTGCCATATTCTTTATCTCTCTCATTGACATTCTTACAAAGAGACAGCGAAGAGAAACGACTTGATATAATCTTCGTTGTTTATGAACTTATAACTACCAAAAAATGATCCCAAACTTCTATTTACTCTGTCTTGTAACTATATTTTTTATAACAATAAGTAAATATAAAAATTTAATTCAATAAATATGAATATTGATATTTGTAGCAGATGGACTTCCTCGTTATCGTCGTCAATTGAATCCTTCAAGCAATAAGATTTTATCTGTTCAAGAACAAGCATCTTGGGCAAGGAGTCCAAGTGGTTCCTATCAGGGCACTTACTATAAAGGTGCGTATCGCTTTTATAAATGAATAACTTTTATGTACATTTTCTTTCTTCATTCATATCTATCTAGGTGTTGGATCCAATCCGAATTATGGTTCATTTATAAAACCTGAGAATCGCCCAGATGTTGGTATCATACCGATAAGTTATGATCCTGATTCTATTCTAAGTAACTATCTTATAACTCCAAGTCCGCCATCGTCACTTCAACAATCAGTACAGCAGTATATGTACAATAATAATAATAACGCCTGGCGAAAACAATATAATTATCCTAATAGACCATACAATTACTATCCACCTGGAAGTCCAGGATGGTATGCAACTGGTGGTAACTACTGGTACAATAAAGGACAATCTCTTATTCTACAGCCATGTCTGTTGGTGCTAAGCATTCTGGTTTTAATGTTTTTGCGAATAAAAAACTATTGATTGATAATATGTAATAGTATGTTATTTAATAAGATTATTGAAATCTTCTCTTTTTTTTTGTTAATTACTATCTACTTCATATAACATAATTCTGCATTGATATATAAAATAAAATTCACATTTACTAGAGAAATTCTTCTTTGTAGTTTGGGTAAAAATGTTAATAGAATAATCTCTCGTACTACAGAACACAATTAATATTTATACTATTGTCTTATGGTATTCAGATATTCGTCATTTACTTGAGACTTTTACTGATCTGATTTTTGTTATAAAATACGCATGTAATGGCAGATTTTTGACTGTTACAAGTTTATGTTCAAGTAGAACAAAAAGGATATTCGGGATCAGTATTAATTATATTAAAAAAGCTGAGGTGAGTAGGAATCCCATCTTAACAAAAAAGTTTTGATATAATCTATATTGCTCGATGCAGTTTTAATACTAATTCCGAATATCATACTTATTTTAATTTGACATAAGTTTGTGACAGTCAAAAACTGCAAATACGAGCGTATTTCGTAACAGAAATGGTCCCAGCACGAGCCTGAGGAAGACAAAGATTATTTGAATACTATAAAAGATAAAGAAGTCGGTCTTTCGCCGATTTGCAGAAAACATTCTAGTCTCTAGTGTATTTCTTTGAAATACATAGATCAGTTATGTGCACCATCAGGAAGTCTAGCATTTTCAAACTATCATTGATGAACCGAGAAAATATTATTCTTGCTCCAGAAAAGGGTGAAAATTACACTCACACTTCTGTTGATGATGATACAGTGAATACTGAATCGCCTTGATTAATACAAATTCGGTGAGAAAATTGCTGATGAAAGTCACACATGTCAACTGAAGACCAAATTTCAACAAACACAAGCTATTAGTGCTTGATCTCATCGATCGATCCCCATGTTTTCTGATACATGATTGGAAATCTCTAGTTTAAATGATTAAAATCTGTTTTTTCTACAATGTATTTCCACGCTGTATCTTGATGTCAGTGTAGATATGATATGCCAATAAGACTAGAAAACCTAGCTGAAGCAATCATTAATACAAAGACCAAACGATCTGAAGTCCGTTCATTGTAAAACACTTCAGCAGCACACAAACTTCAAAGTCATCGGAGAACTTTCCAATTCCACTTGCATACAAAATCAAAAATCCAGAATCGCTGAATTGAGTCGAAGTAATAGTAGATGAAAATCGCTCGAATGAAGTCATAGTGAAAAACTTGTGGGAGAATATTTGATAATTATTGAGAAAGCAAATTTGATGTGATTACTCTCGATTGTGAAAGTGATTGAAAGCTATCAATATTTGATGTAATCAAATAACTGTGCCCTCATGCATTCGAAACATGGTTGAAGGATAATAAAATGCAAACTTCTTTCCAAGAGCCAGTTCAAATGAAATGGAAGTGGAGTGGAATGATATTGAACCTTAACTAGCATTATGAGACGATCCACTGACGTCGAAATCTTGCCAAAGCATAAAGCATCATAATTCATACCGCACATAACTTTCGGTCGTCAGTCTTTTTTGTACTCATCACCTTTTATAGTGAACTTAGAATTTAGATTCACCTTGTATGAATAGTAATGAATCAGTTGTAGAACGTTGGATTTCAAAACAAAATTTCCTCTTTCATGAAAAAAGTATTAGGATCTACTCGACGTATTCTTTCGTATGCCGATGAAATCTTCATCTGGTAAGAGACCAGAGCAAAGTTGGACACTATCAAAAGATCGACTAGTAGAATCGCCTTCTCAAGTCACTAAACAAGAAAGGTCAAGTGAGCAAATTTTTGATGGTTTATTATAGTGACTAGACATTTCTACTGAAACTTCTTCTCGATGTGGAAAATATCTATCTCGGTAAGAAATCCAGCGATGATTGATGTCGCTAATCATGTGATTCTGAAAACGTCTGTTTTTGATCATTTGATTTTGTAACGAAACAGAAAATAAGAATTAGATTAGAAAGTCAAAGGGTCGATTCAAAAGGTAAACCGAAAGATTTATCTCTCTTATTTCGCAACATTATTTGTTCTTTTTCGGCACCATCACAATCGACTTTCATTGATAAGAACTCAATATGATCTTACCAGAACTGATCATAAGACATTGTAACTGAATACATGTCAATGATTCTTAATTGATTTTAGTTTTTATCGCAAGTGTTATGAAACTTCGGTCTGTTACAGTTCGATAACATTAGAATACTACTATAGAGAAAAAAAAATCTGCTAGATGATTGAAATGACGGTATTTGCCGGTCAAGTATCATGAAAATGATAGAATCAAGTGAAGACTATCTAAAAGGAAATTTGACCGTTTAAGAACCTTAGAAAATCAAGTTAACTTATTTGATTGGCCATTCTTGGAACCGAAAATGTTTTCACAGTAAGAAGAATACTGATGTTACATCGCCTGATCGATTTTCCTCCTCAAAATAATAGATCTTCTGTTGGAATAATTAATTAATAACAATAAAGAATAATGCTAATCAACGGGCATACATAAGAAACCATAGTATTTTATTTATGACAATGAATTATCATTATTGACATCAGTAGTATTTCCTGTAGAATTTTTCAAATCTCTCATGCGTGAGCTGCCTCACACAACCCATGCAATAGTAAAACATAGTATTTTTCAGAAAGTTAGGTGCGTGTATACGTCAAGAGAAGCAAGCACCCACACCCATACCCAAAAATTTATTCATTATTTAGTACATCCCAGTGTTTACAAGAGACAATGTTTGAAATGTAAGTCAGCGCAAAAAAAAATTATTATAGTTACTATTTTAGTTTGCATTTCGGGCACTTTTTTTTCTATTCTGTACAATATTTTGTTTTTATTTAAAAACCGTTATAGGGAGCATATCCAATAAAAATTGTATGTACTCCATTAATTATTCTCTTTCAAGGGCGTAGTGAAGCGAAAAAAAAAGTGCGAGACCGGCAGAGGTTTAAGGAAATTTTTTGAGAACTGAAAAATTACATATATATTCTTTTAAAATAGGAAGGCTGAACTTTCTTTTTTTCATCTTACGACCTTGTTTGAATAAAAAAATTCGATTTAGATCGTAATAATACTAAAATTTTTTAAAAGTGCGATGTATGCCCTTCTTATCCTCATAGCCACATCTTTATTCTCTTTCTGGAGAAACAGAATGAGACGTTGATTTTGTAATTATGCAGTTGTTCTTTTTTCCTCATTGTCTCGTCACCAATGAGTGTTCTTCTATGATTTTTTTGTCGGCAATAATGTATAGTAAAATGAGTCAGTACGTAGAAAGAAAAAATATTACACGAGCCAAAAGAAAAAAAAATGCGAGACACTACTGAGGTTGTCACTTTTTTACTTTCATTGACGTTCTTACAAGGAGCAAGAGAAGCAAAACGACGCCATCTGATCTTTGCTGTTTATGAACACATCAGTATCAACAATGATCCCGAACTTATATTTACTCTTTCTTATAACTATATTTTTTACAACAATAAGTTAATATAAAAAAAATTTAATTCAATAAATATGAATATTGATATTTGTAGCACATGGACTTCATCGTTATCGTCGTCAATTGAATCCTTCAAACATTCAGATTTTATTCGATCAAGAACGGGCATCTTGGGCAAGCAAACCAAGTGGTTCCTATGGTGGCACCTACTATTATGGTGCGTATGACTTTTGTAAATGAATAATTTTTACATGCATGTTTTTTTTTCTTCGTTCATATCTAGGTGTTGGATCCGATCCAAATTATGGTTCATTTATAAAACCTCCGAACAATCCACACGGTGGTATCTTACCTATAAGTTATGATCCTGATTCTAGTCTAAGTAACTATCTTATAAATCCAAGTCAACCATCCTCACCTCAACAAGCAGTACAACAATATTTGTTCTATAATAATAATAACGCCTGGCAAAGACCTAATAACTATTATAATAGACCATACAATAACTATCCACCTGGAAGTCAAGGATGGTATGCAACTGGCGGTAATTACTGGTACAATAAAGGACAATCTCTTATTCTACAGCCATGTCTGTTGGTGCTAAGTATTCTAATTTTGATTGTTTGTAAATAGAAACATATCAATTGATCATATCTAAGTGTTTTACCTAATAAGAGCATTGAAATCTTCTCTTCTTTTGTCTAATTACTTTTTATTTCATATATCATAATTGTACATAAATATATAAAATAAAAATCATATTTATTAGAAAAATTTTCGTTTTAATTTTTGATGAGCACTAAAATATTACAATCTTTCCTTCGTCCATACTACAGAACACAATTAATCTTCATACCACTTATATTGATTATGACTTATGACTAACAAAAGTTCTTTTTTTTTTGTTTTGTTTATATTCCATATGGAGACAATCGTTTCGACATATGGTGCTATGATTGAAAGATCATTTGACAGATGCTGTTGAATACTTCTGAATGCTTGTGTGCAAATTTCGATTAAACAGAAAAACCGACTGGATTTATTGGAAATTAACATTTGTAAACAGATTACTTTTGTAATGATCAAGAAAATATAGCATCCATCGTTTATCAATTTATTGACACCATTTTAAAGTACATGATTGCATCATCTCTTATTTTTAATGAAAGAAATAATTGAATAGATTCGTTAGCAATATATTCCTGTGATAATCCATGGTCGACTCATGTTGATACACATGCCTATTGTTTATATGATTGATTCTAGAGATATTTTGTTCATTAGAAAGCATTATATAAGAAAATCATAAGCAAAAGTCAACAAATTCGAACATATTGGTATAAACAACTAGGAATAGTGAATGATTGCTGTCTCTTATTTACATTTTTATTTGAATATTTCATTTTAATCAAATACATGACTATGAACGAAAAGTTCTCTTACAATAGTTGACACAAAAGAAATAATATATAATACTATTATGACAATACGAAAATAAAATTGAAAAAACGTTAAGTTTATATTGAAAACAAAAAGATGATTGTGACAACCTTAAGAAAAAAAAGTTCCTGTGAAATAATGACATACTTGCTATTTTTATATTGTAGCATTAGAGAATGCATCAAGTTACTACCGGACTAAGTGAAATTTATATTGATCCAGGAGAGAACCCGATATACAAACATTCAGATCGTTGATTTTATCTTCAGCAATGAGCAATTGTACGTTAAGCCAGCCATGCTTAATTTTTTCGACATTGTATACTGAATATTGATTGAAGAGAAGATCTATACCTAACATACCAAAGAAAATGAATAGGTCAATTTTCAATCAACATATAATCATGTTTTTTTTTTATTATCCTTTAGTCGCAATAAAATGGTCACAGTGTTAGTGAGATCAGTTGCTGAACTTAAATGAAATCAGTCTGTAAGTGTTAGATTCATAAACGAATTATTTGACTATTGAAAAACTTCATTTTCAAGCAACTTAAGCTTCATTCGTCTACAATCATGAATAATGAGTGATAGCCTCCATGTCCATAGCAACATGGTCTCTCACCACCTCACACTTATCCTCATCTTACTTCATGTTGAATTTGTAACTTTATTTTACTGTTAATCTAATATATTGTTTTTTCTTGCACTATATAAAAGCTATATACATGTGTAAAATGAGATAGCTTAGTTTGAATATACGCCATTCGAAACTACGTATTCAGATGTAATTTTATCTTTTTTAGAATACATCCTTGCTGATTGTTTTTTGTACTTTCGTTTTTATCAAATCTCAATAGCAAATAAGAATTGGTTCGGTTGTTTATTTTAATTGAATAAAATTTTTATAATAATTTAGAACAAAAATCGTATCGATTCATGTTTTTTTTTTCGGAACTAAAACGAACCGATCCCATCTCTGATCTGAAATAAGTTTTTTCTCGATCAGTATTTTGTAATTGAAGATTTCACAAATAGTAATGGATATTTTGAAAAACAATATCTTAACTTATAAATATCATCTTCTTGCAGATCTTCATACTAAAAAGTTTTGAGAAGGATCATTTCATCGTCAATCAATCATTATTTTTCTTTTCGGAACTAGTATTAAATGCCATTATTTGAAGCTATTTTGCTTTTGATAGTTGATGAAAGATTATGAATTCGTCAGATGTTTTGTTTTTTGAAATTTTTGACTAGAATAAAAATATTTTTACTTATCACGTTTATCGATTTATGATGGTCGTAATTGGAGTGATAGGTATTCAAAAACTCATTTTAGTTTCTAGTTTCTCATAAACACTATATATTTCATTTTATTAAGTATTACACCTATTAGATTATGATATAATATTCAAATAATCACAAAAATTCTATTCATTTCGAGTACACCCACATTCACACCCTTACAGTATTTTTTTTGTGAATAAGAAATTCAGAACGGTATTGAAACAATATTTATACGATTCTTACTCGGTGCAAGTGCTCGTTCTTTTTATTTTTGAAACGTGGCACTTCAAGTATGATTAACATATAGGAGAAAAAAACTATTCAGTCAAGGTATCAGATAACTGTGTGATATATAAACGGTCCATAAGCCTTTTCGTTTTCAGGACCAGGTATTCTTGTATATATCTACTATAAATATATTTATATGGTAGTACTAGATCATTGTTGTGTTTTTCTCAAAACAAAACATTGAAAAACAATGCCTAACATGCATGGTTAATGTCGTCTATTTTTTATATTCATTTTCATTCATTGTATTATAAATCAAGTAAATGGTATATCACCAGTTCCTGGTAGAGCAATAACAACACCATTTGGTAAAAAAGGCAGTTGAGCAACTGGTTATCATACGGGAGCTGATTATGCATGTCCTATTGGTACAAAAGTTGTAGCAACAAGAGCAGGAATTGTAAAAGCTGGAAACTGGGGTGATGCCTATGGAACTCACATAATCATTGAATCAAAAGATGCTGCTGGTAAAGTAATTCGACATTTATATGCACATTTAAGTCAAAAGATGGTGTCCGTTGGTGCTAGTGTTAAAGCTGAACAACAAATAGCTAAAAGTGGAAACACTGGAAGATCGACAGGTCCTCATCTTCATTATGAAGAACGAGTTTCACCATTTGCTTATGCCAATCATCGAAATACACAATTTAACAAATAACAACAATAATATTTGAGACATGCTCATTGATCAATATTGATTTCTACTTGTTATCATATTCCCATTCGAATAAATGACATTGCATATAAAGTTCATTTCTCTGTACGAATTAAAAATCAATCAACTTGCTTTGGTTGTAACTCTAAAGGAAATGTATTGCTTGTAAGAACCTAGACTATTGATGGCGAAGGTCGGTGTAGATGTAGATTTGAAACCATATGTCTGTCTGCGTAAGTGTGAAGAGAAGAATTATACCTACGACAGAGTTTGTCGGAGTAGACTTCCGTTTTTTTTGTATGATATGGACTGAGAAAATGGCAGCAATGATGGTAAGAAACACTTTTGACGACGTAAGCTATGTATTGCTGTTATATATATATGAATGACCATGTTGCGCTTTGTAATAATTTAGAATGGGTTCGATTGGGAGCACCTCTCCTTTATCATGTTCGATTGCATTGTTGTCGTTATCAGTAAGCAATTTGTATAAAAATCATTAACTATGAAGGATGTTATCAAAAGTTGATATTAATTAAAGATTTACTCATAGTTTTATTGGCACATATTCAAAATGGAAACTATTTATGAAGTAAAGTTGGGCTTAACTCGAAAGGTGGATAAAAAAATATACATGTTACACTTGATAGACAATTATCATTGTTAGGAAGAAACGTCGTAGAAAATGGATTGTACATAGAATTACATAATATTATTGTTGCATTCTATGCAATCTAAATCGAAACAAATGGACTCTGGACTAAAATTTTTCTATTCGTTGGTGTCTCTATTATACATTCTATAATATGAAATATCAACTGACAGTGAATTTTTCACACAAGTGATTCATTTGAATCATATTAGTATTTCAAACTTACTGATCTATGCGATTCATAATACTAAAATATTGGTTCCGAAAAAATTCAAATATTCTTCAAAAATGACACATATTTTCAACTTCATTAGCGAAAAAATTCCATTCGTACCCAATCAAAGGTTGAACAGCATTGGACAGTTCAATAAATCGTAAGATTTAAAAAAACGACTAAAGTCGATTGTAACATTGTCTTTCCACAAAGAAGTACGCTTAAATTATTTGAGCTATGATTGGCAACACGGTTGCCAAGTAAATTGCCATGATTGAAATCAACAATGACAACTGAGTACAGTTGAGAGTTAGAGCCACTCGAATAGATGACTTGATTTACATAAGAGAAACGTTGATCATAGTCAAGTATTTATTGTGGTTGAATAAACTAATGATTAGAGATCGTTGATAAACACTGATTGAAAAAGTTATTTTATGTGCAATAGAGTTATTGCCATATTCAAGAAAAGAACTCACATTATTAGTCTGGTAAGAGCGACAGCAATGTCTCTATGTGATTATGATCATTGAAACCACGAATAGCAAATGTCTGTAGTCGAGAACATTGTTGCTAAACAAACTAGCAACAACAATATCCCGTCAACTCTCATCATTGAAATCATCAACAACAAAGAAAAACATCGAGCAAAAATTGACGAATTAGTCCCATTCAATAGACATTGTCACATTCTTTTGAACGTTTGTTACTATAACTTAACTATACTGAATGTAACCTTCTGGTTCTATAGTACTTTAAATCAAATCTTTGCTTTAAGTGCATCATTATTTCTCATACTAACTTTTAAATAAATATAGTCCATGAATCAGGAAACTCGAGTTTCTACACGCCATTATGCACTGAATGATACAAGTTACAGAATACTGTTGTAAGGGGTCAGATTAAATGTCGAAGTTAAACGTTATCTTTAATCAGTCATTTGAAGAGATGCAACTTCTATTTTGCATTGAGTTAACCGAGCAAATTCGTTTTATTATAATACTACACCCAGATCATGCAATCTCGGCTTTTGTTCGACAAGTTTTCCGCTTAGTGACTTCGATTATAGTTCTGGCACAATCGATCTAGTCTTGGTCTTGATGATTCTAGTTTTTTTCGTCGTCTAACAAGTCTTTGTCTTGACCTAGAGAAAAATATTTCAAAATATTTTCGTACTTATGCTAAACAAAGTCGTAAATACATGTTATTTCATTAATAGCCGATAAATGTCGTCTTTTTTAGTCTTCTCTCTTGAGTTTAGTTATTTATAGGATAATTCACTCAAAACATTAGAACATTTGCCGATAACCTTTAGTCCTTGTCTCGACTTCATTAACCTTTTTTCTTTGTCTTGTTGTTCTAATCTTCATTCGATTCTGCACATCTCTTTTTGCAATACTGTTTACTGATGGTATGACTTGTCAAATAAAAATTCCAAAAAAAAAAACAAAATTTACTATCCAAAATTCGATGTTGCATAGAATGGGCATAGGAGATATTTCAAGCATATAGCCTTTCAAATAATTTGTTTGTTCAATTTTTTGTATGTTAATCACGAAAGATCTTCAACACGGAGTCTCGATTGAATTAACTTACATAGTACTTTTAACACACAAGCCAAAAGATTAATAGAATCATCTAATTTTTTTTTTGTTGGTAGTAGACAGAGTATTGATTGTCAAAATCTATACATCATATGATGTCGAACTATGCATAGTCTCGACAGTTTTTGAAATAGTAAAATCTATTGACGAAAGATCGTATTTCATCTGAAGGCTTAATGAACATATCTCATTACCATATGTATCGAACAACAAAAGAATAAAGGTCGATTATTTATCTAATTTCTTAAAGTTCTCTGTTAAGATAAACAAAATAATTCATTTGATTAGTAATTATTTGTTTCGATATGATGTTTTATCAATTTTATTTATTTGAAATAATATCGTCTTTATCTTTGTGATAGAAAATATTATCTTTGTCAGCTCATCTAAATCCATATATATCTGATTTTTGATTCAAACGTGTCCACATTTTAACGATAAGTTCTCATATTTCATATGATCATAAGTGATATTGTTGTCATGTGTACCATTATGTTTGTTACTTTTCTTTTTCTTTTTTGCATTTTCCTGGTAAGTATTGAAATATGTGAAGAGAAGAATATATGTAGACATAAGGAAAGAGAATTGAACAATTTATAGAATCAAATTATTCTTCCTCAATTCACTTATTAAAATTTTTAATTCAAAATTCTCATAAATGTATGCATATGTTTATAGGTGAACAATACAAATATATATTTTATTATTTATGAACAAAAGTCATAGAATGATGTAGAAAAAAAAAGTATAAAATGATTTTGATTTGATCAAGTATTTCGAGTTACTTAACACAAAAAATTGTTCATTTTCGATTAATGAAATAATTTTTTTCCTTAATTAGAATTAATAATTAAATACTATATAAATATTAATTAAATTATTCGGATATATATTAATTGTCTATTACAAAATTTGAATTTAATTTAAACAATTTTTCTTTTTTGTTCTTTTATCAGTAAAACATTAACATAATATATTTAATGATATCGTAAATGTCATTGTATTTCTAGGTCTCTTAAACATTCTTTTTTCGTCTTCTTATCAACACGTGTATAAGATAGATGTTTGAATATCATTCAACAACGATGATGAAATCGATCTTCATATGTATACAAAATATTTTTTTTCTTATGTGTATATGCATATGTGTAACAAATTGTTACGAATACTCAATTGACGTCTTTTTTTTCTTTTTAGGAACATAAAAAAAAAAAAAAAAAAAATGAAGTAGGGAAGGGTATACATACAGGGACGTAAAAAAAACCCTAAAGCTGAGATTATATCGTGTGTATATATATATATGCAGTCATAAAGAAATGATTGTGTTTTTTAGCGCAAATACTTTTTTTAATGTATGCATGCATCACCAATAAAATTCCATCGAATGAAATATTTTATGTATTTTTTTTATCTTGAGTGTGAAAAGCAATCGTTGAACTTTTTGTTTGTGCCTATCTCTTAATATGATGTATGAATTTCTTTTTTTTTGTTCTTTCAGTATATTCATATTAGATACGATGCTCTTGTGTTATATTTAACACTTATAATCAACTATGATTCGATGACAAAAAAAAAGTTATCATTATTTATTATCTTATAATTATAATAAAAAATAATTGAATATATCAAAGAAACGAAATTTGATAATTATTAAGTAAGTCGGTCTTATCATTCGATTTGTAAGAAAATTCCTTTTTTTTTTGTCAATGAAAATGTTTATGCTATTTTAAAAGTTATATATGCAAATATTTTACTTCATTGATTTTATTTTATGAAATATCATACATACTAAATTATGATTTTTTGATGAATTGCCATAAAAAAAAAATGATGAGAATTTGTAAAAGAAAAAAACATCAAATCATGGGTTGAATTGTTCTATTCTATGATAAAATGAATATATTTGCTAAACATCAAATAAAAAAAAAAAGATAAAGGTTATAACGAAAACTTTCATGACGAAGGTCGTTGTCATTTGATATTCAATCTCAGTTTCATAGATAGTTGTTCATTATTAACAATACATATATATATTAAATATAGTTAAATGTCATATCAATAAACTGTTTCTTTATTTTAAATCATTTGTATAAAGAAATATTAAAACATCTAATACAATCATTAGAAACTATTGACGATATAAAACAGGTACAATAAAATATTATGTTAATATTGCATATCTTTATTAAATTTAAAGGACGTCTTTTTTATTAATCCACTAGCAAACATTATAAGACTAGTATTTGATAAAAGAAGAAAATTGAATATCAATTTTATAATTTTATTTTAATATCTAGTTATTTGGTAAAAAATTATTGAATAGAATTTATTTATTCTATATATAAAAAATATTTTCTTTTAATTAATCAATTATATTAAAAGAAAACAAAAAAAAAATATTATGAATAAACAAAATCAACATGATAAAAAACGTAAATTTATACAACATAAAAATAATAATGATGATGATGAACAAATTGAAAAAACATTAAATTATTTTGATTCAATTCTTAATGAATATTTATGTGATCAA